AGAAATGGCACCAAATTCGCAGTTTTCGTCGATTAGGTTAATTCATTGTCTTATTTTCATCAGTTATAAGCGATCTTAACGCTTAATTGCCTTAGTAAGTCCTCACCATTATAACTTAATCGGCAAATTTCACTCCCACAACACGAGCAGAGAGCGATGGAGCACTAATTAACACTCCCAAAGCACTAATATTCCGGACTAAATGGGTCAGGATCATCCACACGACAGACAAAAAGTGCATCTGGACAAAATCTCAATCATTTGTCTCAGTGGGGTAGACGTCGATTACAGTGCCAGTGACTGGCAGGAAGCGCGCCCACTGCGCTGGCTCCTCCATCACATGCAACGCACGTATATACACGCTGCTTCTCATGGAAATTAGTGGGACTTTGTCACACTCGTCACTTCCCAGTTGATGCGCGGATTGCCGCTCACGATTGTGGAGTTATGACGTGTAGAGTTAAGGTGCACAACTTTCTATAGAACCCTAATAAAGCGAATAACAGCTGATATGCGATATGCCTGACATCGTTGTATCGTTGTCAGTATGCCTCTTATACTCATCATATGCATACTGCTGAACCTCGTTCACGCTTGTCAACATATGTTCTGCATTACACTGTGTTTCACTGCCACCGGTGCACTGTCTGGTTACCTGTACACTACTTTGTCCAGATAGCGATGCACATGGATCATTATGACCGAGTTAGACCCAGCAAAAGTGTGTAGCATAGCTGCTACGTCCAGTCTCTGCACCATATCTGGACAAAGTCTCAATCATTTTTCTCAGTGGGGTAGAGGTCGATTACAGTGCCAGCGACTGGCAGGAAGCGCGTGAACTGCGCTGGCTCCCAGCACATGCAACGCACACGCTGCTTCTCATGGAAATTAGTGGGGCTTTGTCCAGATAGCGATGCACATGGATCATTATGACCGAGTTAGACCCAGCAAAAGTGTGTAGCATAGCTGCTACGTCCAGTCTCTGCTCGTACAGCGTGTGAGAAAGTGTGTCATTGGTTGGACAATATGATGTGAGCATTTTTCTGAACGCACAGGCCAATCAATGGTTATCGATAAATCTCGTGAGTTTCTTGACAAAAAATATTGCGTACGTTGATTTTTACATAAATAATAGATGCATAAATTGATAATGTATCTTCGCAGAACATGTTCGTAATAATGAATACGCATTAACAAATAATGATCAAGAGGTATTTATAAAACATCTTTGATTGATTCTATCATGCATTTGACCTTGAAACACCGTTGCTTAAACATTGGTTAAAACGAAATCAACTCGTAATCAACATTAATTCACCGTCATTTGCCTGGGGGATGCCACTCAATCAGAGATATTTACCATGTTATTTGTTTCTAAATTTGTAGTACTGTATTTGTAAATTTATTCGTGTTTTTTTTATTTCCTTCGTTCGTTCTCTTTCTTTGGAAATAATGACGCACCATAGATGAGTCATCTTCACTCACTACATTGACCAAGTGGCCACAGAGATCAATGTGGTGGTGTTTTTAAAAACTTTTTTCCCAAGGTTTTAAATTCCTTTCTTCCAACAAATAATTTACTAGCTGGTTTAAACTAACTCAGAAGCTGACAAAGGCGCAGAAATGAAAACGTGCGACATTCCGATTATTTGGAAATTAAAAACGTATAAAATCCTGCAATATTTTTAGCAGGCGACTGTATCGTGCAACAATTTTTCCAAACGTAGAAGTTTATGATGAAAATATCCCACAAGAAAACAATTTTACGGGTGAGCCTTGATGAACCAATTAACTTTATGTCACCCACGTTTCGATGGTGAAAAAAAACATTCGAACTCCTGCCATTCTCTGCATTTTCAAATTACGCATTTTTCAGAATCAAAATCATGCCTCTTGCGAATCTAGAAATTTGTTGGCATGACGTATTTATCGAACTTTTTCTTGGTTTGTATGACGCGGGTACCAATTTCCTCATCAAAAAATCCCCCTCAAATGTAATAATTCGATCATTAGAAATGTAAGAAATTTCACTGAACTGTGTTCAAGTATTACCGCATTCAGAAAACTATAGCCATCTCGGTACTAATCAACCATGCATCTGCCTCTGAATTAGTTAAAAATTTTATACAACTTTATTCATGACCATTTTCTCCCTGAATATCGAGGAGCACAACTCAGTCGAACAACAGCAGCGGCATCACAGGTGTGCATGTCAGTTCGGCCACGCACCCGTAATTATGCAAGCTTCTTTTCCGTTTTTGCGCGTCTTGTTCTAAGCCTTCATTATAGCCCGCGGGGGCCTGGATCTGGCCAGAAGACAGCGCCAGGTCAGCTTAATGCTAGTCTTCCAGCGTAAATTTCATTGCTGTCTTGAATTATTCAATGAATCGATGGCGAGGTCTGATCACGCCGGTCAACGCGTCACTTAATGCGCGCGTTTAGCGCATTCTTCTTCCAAGAGTGCCGTTCCATGCGCGAATTTTCCGCCCGCTTCTCTGCGCGGCTGTGCGCGTCTGCTTCTGAATAAGTTATGCGCTCAGGCATGGAACGCCGCTGCAGCCTTCGTCGCATGCAACAGGTCGTCTCGTCTCGCGTGTCTCGTCTCGCTGTAATGAAGTCTTCGTCTCGCTGTAATGAAGTGTCTCGTCTTAGCGTGCCTCGTCTCACTGCAATGAAGTGTCTCGTCTCGCGTGCCTCGTCTCGCTGTAATGAAGTGTCTCGTCTTATATAGCGTGCCTCGTTTCGCTGTAATGAAGTGTCTCGTCTTAGCGTGCCTCGTCTCGCTGTAATGAAGTGTTTCGTCTTATATAGCGTGCCTCGTCTCGCTGTACTGAAGTGTTTCGTCTTATATAGCGTGCCTCGTCTCGCCGATGTTTTACTAATAAAGGCCGCTTTTTGATGAGCCAAAGATAAGCAAAGTGCGAAGGTCTTTGATGTCGTGTTGCTCTGTAATGTTGCTCAAAATTGCGCAGCGAAACAAGTTTTTAACTTGAACAGTAAAATTAAAATCATCTAGTCATTTTTATTCTGCTCGAAATGAAGCAAATTTTCGTTTCATTAAATTTATTACAAAAACTTGAGAGTCATCACCTGTTTACTTAACAATATATTATCGGAGGCATAAAAACATTAAATTTGATAAATTTGGAATTTTTGGACCCTTTACGTTTACACGATTACAATGCTTCGTGTTAAATATTCTTTCAAATTTTGCGTAAATATTGATGTAATTTAAAGTCGGGTTCGAGGAAAGGGACAAACTTGACCACATTTTCCTTGCCTTGACAACAATTTTGAGGCTAAAGTATCAGTCATAGTCTCCACGCCATCAATCGAAGCACCGATCTATTGACAATCGAAGTACCCATTTCCCTACCGTAAAAAATGTTCAACTCGAGACGTCAGGATCGTAAATCTTTGCATCGTAAATCAGTGCATTGTGACTCCAGCTGATTTATGCACTAAAGATAGGAGCTGAAGTATGAAGCTTTACTTGTTCACATGTTAATTATATGGAGAGATTAATGTGTTCAATTACGACCTGATATTCGCGATTGATTTTAGAAAAAAAGATAAAACAATCTGGATATTGAAAACATTTTGTAGTCCTATGGTACCAAATCTAGATAAAGCAATAATTTTAATGCTTTTAGCATTGAAAAACATGCGTGATTTTCTGAGCTTTTTATGTTCTCATATATAACTCATCGATGTATGTTAATGCAAGTGGTGTTCTTTATTTCATGTTAACATGTCTGGTCAATCAGTACATGTCAGTGCAAGTGTGTTGCACAACTAGCCGGTTTCCATTCCAGCGAATCACTTGATGCGGGAACGTAATAATGTTCACTTGTACTTGAACCAATGTTCGAAATTATTTACTCATTCTAAATGTTTTACTTATTCGAAATGTTTTGCTAATTCTAATTGTACTTTTTCGAAATGTTTTACTAATTCGAAATGTTTTACATGTTCGAAATGTTTTACTAATTCTAATTGTACTTTTTCGAAATGTTTTACTAATTCGAAATGTTTTACATGTTCGAAATGTTTTGCTTAGTGAAAAACAGCTTCTCCATATTTAAAGCTTTATTCCTGCACATTAAATGGTAAAAATATGTTTAAAGTATGCGACAAAATTTCAAGAAACGGTTTTGCAGGCTTAACTTCAGAATATATTATGCATTTTAAATAGATTCATTTATAGCGAAGAAACTCCGCTTTCGTGCGCTCATACTACATGCATGGGTCCAGCACGCAGCGTATTCGGGATGTAATGTACATCACGGTAGCGTGTTGTGAGTGTGTTACGAGCGTGTTACGTGCTTATTGTGTACGTTAAAAACATACCAAGCACATCCACTACACAGATGTTACAAAGACTGCGAGAAAAACACGTGCGACAGCAGCCAAGCGCACAAAACAACTACGCTTTTTAAGTTAGTACGAGAAATGACTCGCAACTACTCAGAGGTGCAGCAGGAATAGGTAGGAACTACATCAAAAGTCGATAAATCAAACAATCTTACACGAATGCGGCAAAATCGAAATAAAAAATGCAACTTATTTCAATATGAAATACTAAACAACGAAACACCAGCTTCTGAACGAATCATATAAGCAAAAACTGCCACGAGAAAAACTGAATTCATGAAAAGCTTGCAATTACAGTATGAAAGTGCGTCAGGTTGTAAGTTAAATTTACAGGCTGCTTGTGATTTTTTTTCATTGTCCAATTGTTATAAAGTGGCAAGGCCGGTTTGTAAATGCTGCTGGGTGTTGGGCACGTGATGTCTATTTTACTAACAACATCTCTGCCATATAGCAAAGTCTACTGATTTACCATCAGCAGTCAACGCCATCACATACCATCATTTATTTCGCCAGATTTTCGCGCCGTGGATGCCACTTGCACCATCACAAACCATCATCCATGTACTAGATCATTGAGCAACTCCTGAGAAATCTTCGACCCTCAATGAGATTTTTTCTTCCGACAGGCGGTTCGGGAAGAAATGCTCGGGGTGTTTGGAAGGAATCTCACCGTCAGAACTTATACGCAAGGCACGCGATCGCGTGTATCACATCAAATGCTTCACTTGCTTCGTGTGCCGCAAACAGCTGTCCACGGGCGAGGAGCTCTACGTGCTGACGGCAAACAAGTTCGTCTGTAAACAGGACTATACAGCCAACAAACTCATGGTTGGTGAGTGAAAATATGGGTAAATAATTTCTGGCTCGAAATAGTATTCAGATTTCATCAACATATAATATATTATTATAGAATGCCTTTAAAATTAATGTGCGACATGGGCTTGTAGGCAAATTTATCCTTTTAAGAACGAAAGAAAATTTACAGTTAAAACGGTCATGCAGGCGACTTTATCCTTTAAGAAATGAACGAAAGTCAGTACTTGACTTGGTCATGCAAGCGACTTTATCCTCTACGGAATGGACGGAAGTTAATACTTGACAAGGTCATGCAGGCGACTTTATCCTTCAAGAAATGGACAAAGGTTAATTCTTAACACGATGTTGCAGGCGACTGTGGGGTCACCGATGAGGAGGACGAAGAACTGGACCTGAAACCCCCACTGCTGGAGGCAAACAACAACAACCCAGACCACAGCAACAACAACAGCAACTCTGGTGTTGCTTCCCACCTCGACTCCCCACACTCCAGTAGTCTTCCCCCATTACATTCATCACTACCATCCCCATCCCTAGCAGCGTCCCCATCACTCCTACATGGTGGGATGCTGGTGGCTAGACCAGGCACCCCTTTAGGGGGGCATATCACCCCAGCGTCTAAATCTTCTGTCCTCCACGACTCCTTAACTGCCGGGGACACTAAACCTAACATCAGTCTAACTTCCTACGCGGTGAGTTTTAATTCTATATTCTCTGTAAATATTTGCATAGATTTGTACATTTATAAATAAATATTTTAATTTGAGATGATGTTAATTTTGTCAAAATTAATTTGCATAGATACTGTATATAGATAAATATTTTAACTTGAGATGATGTTAATTTTGTCCATAATTAATATGGTGATTCTGTTCACTGCGTCGGGCGTCGTACCCAGGCAAAAACGTTTAACATTATCGTTGAGTGATTCATTAATGAATAAGAGGTCAACTATTGGGTTAGAGATCAATTAATGGCCAGAGATTAATTTATGGACTATTGATCAATTGATGGGCTAGATATCAGTGAATGAATGTAGTGAATGGATTTTGATTGTAATTCAGTAATGGCAATGAGGCGAGCACATTCACACATTCAATATACTTGCTAAGTTCATTCAGCACATTCAATACTTGATAAATATTATCAATTATTGAATGTGCTGATAACTTCGAGGCGCGCCATAGAAATTTCAGACATAAAATCGTCCAAATAAGTATGATATGTATTCATTTAAATAGTTGCTGAGTATAATAAATTTTTCAATGCTCCAATTAATGACAATATATAGTCGATAAGTATAATGACTTATTTAATACACTAATGACCATGTGTGGTGCAGCTGAGCGTGAACAACACCCCTATTTCAATAATAAAATAACATAACTTAATAATTACATTTATAACTGATAAGTATAATTATGAGTTAACTAATAACCATGTTGCAGCTGAGCGGAAGTAACACCCCTATTTCATTAATGAAATAATTCAAAGAACATAATTAGTTAAATAACTAATTATAATCAAGTATAACTTAACTAATAACAATGTGTGGTGCAGCTGAGCGTAAGCAACACCCCCACCAGCGAGAAGGAGCCGGGCGCATACCACGACTCCGACGCCTCAGAGAACGAGGCGAGCTCTGAGTCTAAGGACGCTGCTGCTGCCGGAGCTAAAGTCCCGGATGATGAAAAGGTAATAATGATTGCCCTTCAAGTGGAATATAAATAATTTTCTTTGTGTTTTACCTAGCGATTCTGTGTGCTTTCTAATTCGCTTCTTGTTTCAAGTATTCAATGAATGATATAATAGGATGAAAATATCTTTCCAACCGATATAACTATTTTTACGATACACACTTTTCGATTAGTAAGTAAATGACTGAAAGATTATATCATTAGTCTGCTTTCTAATTCGTAAGTTCACCTAGAATTTAAAAGCAAAGAAAATGTCAACTAAATTCAACACAACAGCAATGAAAACGTTTTGGGTAAGAGTTCCATCATCAGTTCATAATAGTCACCATCACTTTTTAACTGATCATAGAACTGGTCTCCGAAACGTAATCATTAAAGATATGTTGAATTTACTTGGCATTTTTTTGCTTTTAAATTCCTGATGAAATTTTCACTTATCCAAAAATATTGTATTCCAATCAATGCATATCAACTTGATTCCCGTCTCCGTTTGAGAAAGTCCCCAACATAGGCAATGAAAAGTGGAAGTCAGACTTCGTATTTTCCATAATAATTTTTGAGATGTCGATTGCCTCAAATTTCGAACTTAAATTTAAAGGTAATGGCATGTCGGCATATATGATGTGTGTAAATGTCGGCACTTCGAGAGGGAAACTATATGACCGTTCCCCCAGGCAAGCAATTGACAGCTGTTATGAATTTTTTTCTCTTAATGGAAAGGAACGGAATATCGGGCGAGATGTTTGACAGGTTAAATGCATTGGTTGAGAAATTAGTAGTAAGTTTAGAACTTCAAGGGCCAGAAAATAATAATTAATATCGCCAGTTTACCCATTGTTACAGGAGCTGACTCAGTACCAAAGTCGTATTCTCAAAACTAGCCCGTGTACACACCGGTTGAATAATTTTCTGTAATCGGTAGAATTTGCTTGAAAATCCGTCAGTAATTGGCTGAATTAATTACAAAATATTTACGAGCTCGTAAATATTTTTGGTAGAACGGCTCCTGAACAATTAGAACTGCTTGATGTTTAGTCTTCTTGATTGTTTTTTAGTTTAGTGCAGTTATTTCATGACTGAACTTGAACAATGTAAATCTTTTATTAACTGAACTTGAACTCCGGTAAATGTTTCAAACACATATTAGTTTTTATTCTAGAATTATAGTATGATCCATTGAATTTTAATTTCCATTTCTTCTTCAGGGTGGCAACAAAAGGCGGGGGCCTCGCACTACAATCAAGGCGAAACAGCTCGAGGTGCTCAAAGTTGCCTTCAACAACACACCTAAACCAACGCGACACATCAGAGAACAGCTCGCCAAGGAGACTGGACTGCCAATGAGGGTCATCCAGGTACGTTTTTTTATTGAGAAATACGCTTTTTGGATTATATTATCAGTTCTACTTTATAGCCGCGGTGCACAAATGTCCCATTTAGGATAGGTAACGAAGGCGGTGCCCCAGCGAGGCCTTGAGTGAATTAAATGAAGTATGAAGTCCGAAAAATAAACTTGATTCATGTGGCTCATCCATTTTTTTAATTAAAGAAAACTTGCAGAATCATCAGGATTATTCTTTGAGTTTCTTATTTGAATGCTTTATTGATAGTAAAAAAAACATTAAATGCATGATGGTCGTTCAGAAACATTTTATCACTGAATACGTAAATGCATTTGCGTTTAATTCTTGATGAATCGACGCTAGAATTTAATTAAAGTGTCATGTATCAATGAATAAAATTCCCGCAGCGAAACATGGTTTCCACGAGGGTGAACAATTTTTATACATTTTGTAGCTATTGAACCAGTTTTGTAGCAACCGACTTTGAACACTTTTAATTACCAGAATCCATTATCATATAGCTTGTTCCTATATAGACCACCCAATCAAATTAGCTAATATGAACCAATGTTCACTTCTAACTCTGCTCACTTCTGGTTCTGACTGTAAAAATATCACCAATCAACCCATAATAATCCAAAGCTGCATCAGCATCTGATTACTTGAATCAGAAGCTGCTACGCCTCTAAATTTTGTTTTGGTTAAATAAAGTGATCTACGTTTTTTATCCCTAAGCAATAAAGTAATCAACGTTTTTTATCCCTAAACACCGGAAGGTTTGGTTCCAAAACAAGCGCAGCAAAGAGCGGCGCATGAAACAACTCACGTCGATGGGTATGCGTGCGCATTTGTTCGCCAACCCGCGCAAGCTGCGTGGCATGAGGATGTCGCCGGGCATGGAGGACGCATACCAATATTACGGAGACGCTTTTGGTTATCCGCCACAAGCTTTCCATGACTTCTTCCCTGGCCAGGGACCACCCCACATGGGCTTCCCTCATGGTCAGTCTTTATCTTAACGCGCTCTTAACGTTGCTCTTAATAATAATAATTGTTCTTAACATTGCTCTTAATAATAATAATAATTGCTCTTAATAATAGTAATTGTTCTTAAGATTGCTCCTAATAATAATAATAATAATCTTAATAATGCTCGCTAACACGCTCTTAGTCTTGTCCTCCCGCTAGCTGTCGTGTCTTAGCTCACTAGCTTTACCTACGGCCAGTCTTACAGCAATCTTTTATGTCTTGATGGTGGATTTTCGTTGAGGCAACAGTGAATACAAAAGAAATAAATAATAAATATTTATAAATTATATAATATTTTTAGAATTAGATTTCGAATCCCGTATTTAACAAATTTCAGCAAATTAATAAAAATCTGTGCAGGATAAAAAATCTGCCACTAAAAATTCAAACGTAAAATTTTTCGCCAGGTTTACCCCCCGCCATGGAACAGCCCTTGCCTCCCGGCGGCCCCCTGAGTGACTTTGGGGCGCTGGGGAGCATAGGCCTCCCCCCTCCCCCACCAGACACTCCCCACTTCCTAGGCCAGCCCTCCGACCTCCTGTCGCAGCGGTCTTCCCCGGAGGGAGGAGTGGGGGGAATGTTACTCCCCCACGGGGGTCAGTAGAGGGCAGGTTAGGAGGGGTGCATTCAACTCACTCAGGGGTTCAGGGGGAGGGGTTCATTTCACATTAACATGTCCAACGTTAATTGTTCATGGTCGTTGCTTCTCTAGTAATTCAATTACATGCATAAGCTCATCGAAATTCAATAGCATCAAACACAACGTATTGTTCAACGTGATTGCTTAATAAATAGAAGGAAGGAGAGAAAAACTCAATTAAGTGTACGTATTTGCCATTTTATTCACGTAATGCTGTACGCACTTTGCCGTATTGATGATGGCTTCATTATCACGCAGATGGTAACGTGTGTTCTTCCACTCAGACCAATATTTACATAAATTTACTTCTAATAAATCATGTCTGAAGAAACAAAGTCTTATGAAAAATACATTTTCAGCATTTTGTCGTATTTACGGATTTGAAATCCGTTTAAAAATCCAAAAGTGATTATTATAATCAGATAATCTCCACGGAATGACAATTTGTCCATTTCAGTAATAACCCCGTGAAAATTTACAGACGTGTCAGCTTCTGATTTGGAGTACCAGAAGCTGGGGCGACTCTAAATTTTGTTAGGGAACTTCTTTAATATTGCTCACAAGGCTGCATCATGCTTCAAGTGTCTATTTCTATCTATTTTTAATTCGACTGTGATAAATATCTATGCGTCAAGTTTGACATTACGGCTTCAAACGTCTTAGGCGTTCGTGGAGAGAAACCAGAAACCATTAATGCTTTAAAGTCCATAAAACCAACAAACCATTTATGGCAGCTGACTACTTAGCTTATGTCACCAATGACTCATGACAGATATGCAAACGATATATACTCATACGTATCTATCTCTGTTTATTTACCAGTTCCAGATTCCAATCACGAACAAAATTAAGGCATATCTCAACAAGTCAATTCGATCCTCATGCAACACTACTAAATCTACCGTATTTATCGTCAAGTCAATTCGACCCTCGCATAACGGAATTAAATTTTTTGCCAAATCTATTCGGTCCTCGTGCAACTGGGTTAAATTTACCGTATTACTCGCCGGGTCATTTTGCCCTTCATAAAACGGAATTAAATTTCCGGCCAGATCTGTCTGGCCCTCATGTAACGGGACTAAATCTACCGTATTACTGGCCAGGTAAATTCGACCCTCATGTCACGGGACTAAATCTACCGTATTTCTCGCCAGGTCAATTCGACCCTCATGTCACGGGACTAAATCTACCGTATTTCTCGCCAGGTCAATTCGACCCTCAGGTGACGGAGGGTCTGGTTTGGTGATGCGAAGCTGCGCCATTTCGTCTCTTCAGCTCGTGACGGTCTGCGCAGTGACGTCATCACCATAGCTGTACATGCCACCAACCCACGTGAAAGTCTTCAAACGCTGCAACAATTGAAATAAAAAACGCCAACAGAGCTGAGTTTTGCGTTAACTTTTCCCAGTATTGCTATTGCTGCGAATACTTGCGGGCTAAGTTCGACTACAAGAGCGAGCGGCCAATTTTAATAATTCAATGTCACATTGAAAGTTGACGTGTGAGAAAAATTGTGAATATGAGATGTTATATTGTAAGTTGAGGAAGTGAGCTAAATGGACTCTTTTAATTCTTATCCTGAGTGACTTTCTTCGCGTTACGCTATTATTAGCGTTCCTCGAATACATTTCTGAAAAATCTTGCGTAAAGTGCAAGTTGATGGAACGTTCAGGCTCGCATTTCGAGTAGACCGGATATAATATTGGTAAATATTAATTTATTATAATATTTTATACTATTTTCGTATGAATATTAGGCAATGCATAGCCAGAATCAATCTACTTAATAAGTTTCGTTCCATGTTGTCACGTGTGCTGAATATTCCATCGAGGGCTGACGCCCAGTAACGTGACGTATACAAGATATCCTTGTCGCTTTGGAGCCTGTTTGTCGCATCAGGTCTGTCGCCCTTCATCGGCTATCTCTCGCAGGAGAACTTCGGATGATGGTTTCCGAGCGTGGAGTACACTTTCTAAATAATTGAAAAAATTAATCACTAAATAATTGAAAAAAAATAATCACCAAACAATTGAAAGTGGAATCACATAATAATTGAAAAATAATCCCCATCAGCAAGTCACCAGGCGTCGGGCGCCAGCACTTGGTGGCACATCAGCTTACGTTATAATATACAGTGGGGGGAAATAAATATTCGTACACTTGAAAAATCGTATTTTAATGTATGTAAGTACACAAACTTGACAGGAAAAGTGATTTAAATTATGTATAGAGACGCATAGTATTCAAAAATACTATCATAAGAAATTAAATCTCAATGCAACAAAAAAACAATGCAACATGTTCACTTTTCGGGTGAAAAAAGTATTCGTACAAAACAATAAATCCGCATTATTTTAATATACTTTTTTCACCCGAAAAGTGAACATGTTGCATTGTTTTTCGTTGCATTGAGATTTAATTTCTTTTGATAGTATTTTTGAATACTATGCGTCTCTATACATAATTTAAATCACTTCTCCCGTTAAGTTTGTGTACTTACATACATTAAAATACGATTTTTCAAGTGTACGAATATTTATTTCCCCATAGAACGAACTGTTTTGTGTAGATTTGATTATGGCTATATATTGTCAGATATCATTACGATGATATCATACAAATATTATAACAATATTTCGCTTACCAACAGATGGAACCGTTGAAAGTTTAGGATTTGGCATTGCCGCGATGCATCAGGCTATTCCAAAAGTTATAATTCCGTGCAAACATGTTACGAGATCCCATCAAGGCAGGCTTATCACGTTTCCACGACACCTTTATATTTTGACTGAGGATACTTTTCGCCCTATCATTTTATCGATCTAAATCGACAGGTTAACGTGAGTTTGATTAAGTTGTTATCATGTTGGATGTGTGAAGTGCACTGTACAAAGTGTAAATCGAACATCTCCGTCAAGTTGGAATGTTTTTTTGATACGTTAATGTTTCATGCTGACTTTGGCAGAGAGGGTAGACATGATTTCTATGTTGTGTCTTTGTATCATGATCTAAAACTTGTTATCCTGTTATTTGTTTCTCTATGATTGTTTACCGCATTTATTCATTGCCTTTTCTTTAATTAGATGTGCTCATTGTCTGCAATTTATGTTTGCCTGCTAACTACAATTATAATATTCTAAATCAAATACCAAGTTCATCATAACCGAGACCTGTTCTCGCCTATATATATTTATGTATATATAGGTTAATAAACATATACCGGTATTACCAACTGAACATGTGTACAATATTCTGTGTGACTAGTGTGATCTACATCCATCATTGTGTACTTCTGTCTTTCTATTAGGTAGAGAATGTTCGATGTCTCCTTTGTGCGTATGTTTTCAAACCATCAATAATAAGGTGTTTCGCCTCAAAAGTAAAATACGTGTCTTAATTTTAGTAATATTGCTGAACATTTTGCTCCAAAATTAGAAATGGAAAAAGGAACCTAACAATGAACATTTTTAACCTCCCACTGTCATCCAAATCAAGCCACAGAGAAGTCAGACGAACGTTATGCTTGGATTTCCGTCTCTCTCAGTTCGGTGTAATCTTATTGACGATCATCTTACTTAATATCAGCTACTCTAGCATTGAAAACTATACTCGACGTCACATGCCGCATAACTAACTAAAAATTGCATTAAAAAAGGCTCGCATTTGAACATCCTTGAGAGCTTGATGTGGAACTCAGATGAACTGATGAAATCATCCGTATTGTCTTCGCATACCAAATTCAACTTCTCATTAGTGAATGAAACTTCAACTCAATTTTGTGAGTTGTTAATACGTTCGAGATTAAGCAATGAAATTGTAATTTCAAGGACCAGAAGATTATGAAACTTAAAATAATGCACTTCGTTTGTGGAAAGATATTTCCTGGTACACAGGTGGAACGCAGTCATGTTGAACATTGCCAAAGAATTACTAGGAATAAGGGTTTTTCTTGAGTTGCTTTTTGCAGAGTGCTTCTTATCATTCCTATATATATTCGCTGAAAATCAAGTGGTGTTGGAGATACTGTCGATCTATACACACTACTTTACTTATGATCATCCATATCATCACTTCTATCATTATCACAATGTCGGCAGGATTTTCATTAATAGTATTAAAATCATTGTTGTCTCACACCATCTTCATCTCAATCGCCATGCATGATCATCGTCATCATTATGTAACATACCTTATCTCATTGTTTTCATCGTCACCACATTCTCTCTCATTACTTTATATTCTAACCATAGGACCTCATTAATAAAGTTTGTGCGATTCACATTGTTTGATTGTGTCCATTAGCCCGGGAAATCAGTCAAAAGAGTTACTCACGTTCTCGGTAATGAATAAAATGACTGAGTGGAAATCATTTAACATGACTATTTTACGTGTATAAACTTTATCGTATGTACAAAATTTAATATTCCGGTCGTATTCTATCAAGTTTTCAGGAATTATCGCAGATAACGTCCGCTGATTTTAAATTATGAGTGAACAATCGATAGAAGGGATATCACGCTTGAAAAATAAATATATGAATAATCATACCTCATAATTTGAAGACGCAATTAAATTCGTAGAGTTACAGTTTTATCTTTATACGGTCTATTTTACAGCCGTCTCCATTGATGACACTCCAGTTGTTAAACCACGAAATTTTTACTGGTTATGTTTACCATGACGCAGTTCATTCTAGATATTTGTGCAACATAAGATCAGGTGCACTGTCATTTTTTGCAAATCATTAGACAGTCGATTTCGAAAGGGAAAATTCCATGAGAATTATGCGAAACTATTTTCAGAACGAAAAGCTATTTTCTACCTCAAGTTAGTTGAGGGAAGCTAAATTGTCTATTTAATGAATAATAGCGATGTATGTTTAGCGGGTTAGCTTAGGTCATTAATCCTGTCGAAGATTCTGAACATCATAGAATTTTCGCAGCTTGATGCGGGTTTCGAACACGCCACTCACTGCTTTAGTATCCACTGTCCTGAACCGACCGGCCTCCTCTCCGATTTTGACACGAACTGCCGCAGGGAGCTGGGAGCGAACCTGCACCTATCAGCTCTAATCCTGGCACCCAAGGACTTATATTATTATGATCTGGGTTTCTGGTGATAAATTTTTCAACTCATACCGTGCTAGATTTCCATATAACACAGCCAAAAATTAAAGCAATTAACTTAATTATTAAGGATTATTTCGCAAACTGCTGGTAGAGTTTCATGAATAATAAAATTATTGGAATTTTCTAGTCATCCACGATTTCTCTGAGAAATTATACAAATGTTGCGTCAATGTGAAATTTTACTGAATTAAAATAAACAAGAAATCGTGATACATTCCTGACATTATGAACCCAGCGTCACTGTTTCCCGGCCTTACTATTCCCCAGCATCTTCTTCCCCCCACACTTACCCCGACTCTCCACCATTATCGCATGGCTAACTGGAGGCTTTTCTCGCAGACCTTTGATGCTTATCTGAATTAGGTTAGGTTAAGTTAGTTTACCACTCGTATAGATCCTCTTTTCATAGCGTAATGCAGTCAAGTGAGTAGAAACTAAGAAAAGCCGTTCGGCAGTCGGTGAAAATAGGCGGGGAGACGGGGTAAGCGTGGAGGTAGAGTTATGGCGGGGGAAAACAGCTGCGACGAATGCCTCTGAAGCGGCCGAACCCCTATACACGAGGCTAGTAGCGTGGACAGTTCAAGCGCCGGATGAACTAGCGGCTAGTACTATCCCTGTGTACAGGCACCTGAACGGACGGGCTGGAGTGCTGACTGTGTATCAACAGCGGTATGGCGTAGGAAGTTGCTTACCGAAAATCGTGAGGAGGTTAGACGGCATGGGATAGAGCTGTTGGACGGTTTTCAATACGGCGTAGAGCGATTGTATTGGTGGCTTACTTCTCATTAGCTCGCTGGTTAATTTCCATGAAGGGGATTTGTACCTTTGGCTTTTAACTTGTAATCCCCTAGTCTACTCTGCCCTTTAGCAGGCTTACGCACGGAAAGGAGGATGAAAGATATGCTGGTCTTGGGCTATGCTGGCCTCCGGCATGCATCCCGCTGCCGGCAGTAACCAATCCGCACCACAGTCCACAGTGACTCCACACCTCCATACTTGCTATATGTGTGCGCGCGCAGTGTTAGGTTGCGGCGTGATGTTCGTGAAACTTAATGCATTATAGTTATAAGCTTTTGACATATTATTTATGTATTGTGTTCTTCTTCGAATATTCTTGGCATACAATTTTATTGTTCTTACCGCAATTTCAGGAACGCCGCAGCAGGAGCTCTAATGAGTAACAGTTTTCCGATCTAACTGCTATTGTCTGCTAGCCTAGCTATCGGCCATGGTTGAAGTTTGAACTATACTTATATACAACATGGTTTTACAATACATTGTACATATGATATAACTTAGCTAGCAACTTAGCTAATTCTTATAAGGCTATAACTAGTCTTTAACTATTTGACTATTTGTTATACATTAATGACATTATACAATTTACATGTGTTGATGTGTAGCTAATGTGTTAGGCTAGTCTGGAAAAGTCCTATTTTTGTCTGAAATATCGCGGCTCTAATATCATATAATTCCAGTAGGTATGAAATCTCGCGGCTCGAATGTCATAAATTTTTGTTTGATTAAAAAATCGCGGTTTGCACTTCGCAAACATGTCATTTCATAAAATTTTCAACTTCCGCAATCCGCATTGCTTTACCG